TTTTAAACGTTTATTTATTTTTGAGAGAGGGAGAGACAGAGTGCGAGCAGGGTAGGGGCAGAGAGAGAGAAGGAGGCACAGAATCTGAAGCAGGCTCCAGGCTCTGAGCTGTCAGCACAGAGCCCGACGTGGGGCTCGAACCCATGAACCATGAGATCGTGACCTGAGCTGAAGTCAGATGCTTAACTGAGCCACCTAGGTGCCCCTGTGTTGTTTTTAAGACCCACGTCTTAGATCTTAGAAACACTTAACAAAGCTAGTTACCTTCCAGGACTCTCCCGCTGTGCCTGCAGGGCCGTGGTTTTGTCCTGGGGACCCAGCATAGCATTGGTCACTCACTCACATTTGCCGACCCTGGGCCAAGTGCTAAATTAGGACATCCTGCCCCTAGAGGTTTCCAGTCGAGGGTGGCTGTTAGAGCGGACCATGTGGGTCCCATGGGGCGGGCTCTAGTCTACCTGGGAAGGGCCCCCTTGGCCAGGCAAACGAGGCCGCTGCATACTCAGCAAGCCTTCCTGGTAATGCTGCCTTTCGGTCACATGGTCTCCAGAGGCACGACCTGTGAGATGGTGGTGAAGCCACAGGTGAGAAGGGGAATCTGGTCCTTCCTTCTAAATGGTTGTTGAAGCCCTTGCTGACAGGGCTGTTAGAGACCCAGAGCCAGGGCTGTGGGGTATAAGGGTAGACTGAGCAGTGAACATTGCCACCAAGCTGAGTCAGTCCAGAGTGACGGGGAGGAGAGTTTTGGCCAGAACTAGAGGAGCGACCCCCAAGGGCATCTGTGGCAGTGGAAGGATCACCGCACGTGGTCATCTTTTAGCCCAGCCTCTGTTAGACCTTCCTCTGTGCTGGGGGGGCAGGTACGAGGACGGTGGGACAGGGACGTTGTCCTCAGGGGTCCTTGCAGCTTCGAGTCAGTGCAGCTGTGTGAACCAGGCGTCTCAGCGCAGTGTGACCCTTCTGTGATGGGCAGGCTGTGAGGAGGGACGTGGCCCCGGCCGGGGAGGAGCGAGGAGGGCTGCCGTCTTAAGGTGGGGTGCTCTGCACAGGTCTTCCTGAGAAGTGCCCTTGAGCAGAGGCTGGGCCAAGGGAGGGACGTGAGCCACGTGGGGAGGGGGACAGTGAAATTTCCAAGCGGGGCGAAAGTGCAGAGGCCACAAGGTGGATGCCTGACTGGTGTGACCACCGAGCACAGCACCCAGGTGACTGGGGCCAAGGGAACCGGGGAAGGAGGTGAGGTCAGAGAGGTACTGAGGGGCCTGGTAGAAGAGTGGAGGGAGTTTGGCTTTTACTCCGTGTCGGGGAGCCATTGTGCCTACAGAAATACACCTGAAACTGTATCTTAACTGTGGCAGGAAAAGGGGAATATGGATATTGTCACTCCTGGCCATGTGGCTGTTGGCCGGTTTTCAGCAGAAGGCTCGTAGCATACTTGTGCCTCGGAGAGTCCACATGGGCACAAGCCTGTAGAGGACTCCTTGAGCTTTGAGGAAGAGACTGTATCTGCAGACGAGGATGTTCATAGACCTTATTCATAATCGCTCCCAACTGGGAGCATGCCCAGTGCCTATCAGCAGAAGGGACACGTGAGTGTGGTGTATGCACCCAACCAATAATGTCTAAGAAAGGGCATGAATGATGTATAACCACAAACAGCATGAACGAGCCCTTAAATAGAGCTTGGAGGGAGGAGCAGACATCAGAAAACACAGCCGATTCAGTTCCACTTATGTAAGTTTCAAAGACGCACGCAAAACTCCTGCCTGTGAGAAATCAGGACAGCAGTTCCCCATTGGCAGGGAGGGGGGCTGGCTGGCACAAGGGGCCTGTGGGGGGTGGGAGCATTCTGCCTCTTGATCTGTGCGCCGGGAGCACGGGTGCCTTCAGAGCGGCCGCCTCTGGCGAGCCATGTACTTTTGTATTCAGGCAAGTGCATGTGCGACCGGCATCCCGTGCTGGGTGCCATGCCCATATGTTACGTGCCGGTGAACGGTGTGGAGGGAGTGGCAGGCAGGCACAGGCTGTGAGGACCTCTCAGCTCTCATAGATGCCCGATTTTTTAGTTTTGAGAACACTACTCCTCTCTTGTGCGGTGGTTCTCTGATGTTTATCTTTTTGCTGTTTCTTTCTCCCTGCAATGTCTGATGCTCCCTGAGGATGAGGCAGACTCTTCCCTGTCCCCCCGCCCACGGTGCAGCATCTGCAGGTGCCCAGGGAGGGGACCTTTTCTGTGTGTCCCACTAACGAGTGGCCTCATTTACCTACCTAGGTGCTGACTTGCTTAAGATGTCTCGAGACGATTTGGTCCAGATCTGTGGCCCTGCCGATGGGATCCGGCTCTTTAATGCCATCAAAGGCCGGTGGGTGTCAGTGTCCAGCTGGATACAGGGGGTGGCAGGAGGCCCCATCCCGGTGGGCTGGCTGGTAGGGACAGGGCTCCTCAGGGAGCAGGTGCAGAAGGAGGCCCTTTGATGGGGGATCAGGGTCATGGGGGGTGGGGCGGGGCTGTGCCGGCCAGCCG